AGGGGAGGGGGAGGGGGGGAGAGAGAGGGGAATGAAGCGGGAGGGGGGGGGGGGGGGGGAAACGAGAGAGAGAAGGAAAGAGCAGATCGAGAAGAATAAATCTGAGAGACTGAAGGACTGGTAAAGACTAAGAACAGAGCAGACAGCAAAGATAAAGGTTTTAGCAATCTGAAGGAGAGGGAGAAAAAAAAGCCATCCAGTTTGTCCTTTTTCTCAGAAACATCATTTCAAGCGCGCATAAACACAACACTCGCGCACACACTCGTTTACAGTGGTCAATTATAAAAGCCTCCGTGGAGTTAGCTCCATCGATCCGGCGCTGAAACACTTCTGCTTTTTACACCTCTCCCCCCGCAGAGAGCAGGACGCCGTTTCTCTGCGTTCACGCCATCCTCTTCTCTCCCTCCGTAACCTTTTCACTGCACTCACTCTGTGCTGCCACCAGTTCTGCAATTTTTTTCCTCCCCCTTCCCTTTTTTTTTTTTTTTTAAAGGGACCGGGGTTGTGAAAAGGCACATGTGTGTTATTTAGGCCTACTGACATTTTCAACAGCGTGAAAGTCCTCTTTTTTTTTTTTCCAATAATAGCTGGACTGGAGGCATAAAAGTAATGTTTCACGCTGGGGGAGTGGAGAGCAGGAAAGAGAGAGGGAGAAAAGATGCAAAGCATGAAAGAAATAGAAAAGAGAAGAAAAATCGAAGAGTAAAGCGTTATTTCTTAGAAGGTCAGACATTCTACTTCTCTTCTTCTTCTTTAGCTTTTCCCCCACTTCTTACTGTCGGTTACGGTGAAAAAACCCCAACAACTATTAATTGCCCCAGGAAGAGGAAGCGGGACACTCTGCCTCCTCCAGCCGTCCCAGCAGAGATGAACCTGTCTGTTTAGAAGAGGTGATGTATGGACGCTACCTGGCTGACATTAATAACAGCTTAATGATGTCTCTGACAATTCCACCAGCTAATTTAACACTGTGTTGACCATGCACACACACACTGCCGCATTCCCGCCTGCTGCTATTCATGCAGTAAACCACGTCTGATGTGCATTTTTACGCGCGCCGGCACGAATGCGCGTTCGTCAAGCGACACTGGCAACATCGGCCGCTAATCAGCCAGAGTGATTACCTGGCCCGCCAACACTGCAGCAAAGGCTATTTATCAGCGCACATTAACGCACCGTGTAGGCTACAGAGGCATCACGAGGGACATCTTAAAGGCATACACACACTTACAGCGTCCTCCTCCCCGCTGCGACTGGGGCTGCCCTCCGCTTCTCCGAACGAGTCGTCCGTGGGCGGGTCTGTGGCGTCCGTGGGCGGGTCGCTGACGTGAGAGGCCGAGGACTTGGACGGGGAGCTCTTCCTGGGGGCCGGCGTAGGAGCTGCAGAGGAGAACAGACTTTTTTTTGTGTGTGTTTTTTTTTCCCGTGGTGACCTTCCAGCATGAGGTGCTGGAAGGTCGGCGGCGGCGGCGGCGGCGGCAGGGCGCTCACGGGAGTTGGTGGACGGCGTCGTGGAAGTGACCGGCGTCAGGTTCATTTGGGAAATGTCGAAGTCGTCGCAGTCGTCCGTGTCCTGGGCGGTGCCCACGCGGCTGAAGTAAGAGCTGAACGCCTCTGAGGTTCCCGCCAGACTGGGCTGTTCGCCCTTCTTGGACGGCATGGCTGGAGGCTTCGCCAGCTGGAAATCCTGAGAGCACAGGTGACGTCTGGTCAGAGCTGCAGCGAACATTAGAGTAACTTTAAAAGTTTCTCTTTTTTATATAATGAACACACTGTTCAGATGTAGCTCAGCTAATTGCAGCTTTAATACAGTTAATAGTGGATTATGTGTGGCTTGAGTCTACAAACTAGGTTGGGTTCAGCACGGGGCAAAGACTCTTCTATTAAAGCCAGTCAAAAACTTTGAGTGGTGAATGTGCTTGAACTTTGGTTGATATGATGTGTTAAGTCAAAATCTATTATTTTCCACTTTTCATTCCACTTTGTATTTAAACCCATTAAAAAATATATTAAAAAAAAAAAAAAAAAAACAGGAAGTGAGGAGAAAAGGAGAACCAGATGTGGTAAATTCTTAAAAACGGTTTCCATGCCTCTCTAGGAGCTCTGACTCCTGTTTGCAGTTTTGCATGCGACTAAAACCCAATGATGTGACGCAGCGCAACACAAACAGGAAGAGCAAACAAACAGGGTGGAGAAGAAGCAGACAGTCGAACCAAATACATTTCTGATCAAATACAACTCATCACGGACATAACGTTCAACTCATTTTGGGGCTTTAATTTGATAACCTTTCTATTTGAGGATCGAATAATTTGTGCAACAATTATTTCTCCTTTAGGAGGACCAGTTTGCTTTCATCTGATGGCATTTCGAGTCAGATTATTGAAAATAAGACGTTTCAACAGGTTTAGAATACAAAACATAACTTGGCATTAAGCATCTGAACAGCCTGGACCTCAAACCCGTCACACTCTGTCAAAGCTGAACAAGTGAAAATAGAACATGGCTGAAGTCCAACTTGGGACGCTCATCCAGTATTAGAGCAAGTGTGTGCATGGATTTGAGATAATTTTGCACCTTATTTCTGTTATGAAATATGTTCAGATCTCAAAACATCTTTTCAGAACAGCTTTCGATGTATCATTAATGTCATGTTTTATGTTTGTCGTGTTTTTTGATGCCCACTGCTGTGATTTCAGTAGGTTTTTCTTTCCTTTTATCCTTTAGTTTGATGCACTTCAAGTGTTCAGCTTGTAATTTTGGATTCCCGTAAAGTTTTTAGAAAAATGTTGAATAAATTATTATGAAAACTATACGCTGTATAACCATTACACCTTCAAATTTGCATTTGGCTCAACTCGAGCCCCGAACTGAAGCCGCTGCTCGCCCACCTTGAACATCTCCTTGCCCATCTTCTTCGGCCCCTCTCCGTGCTGCGGACTCGACGAAGCCGACGGGGACAGAGCAGAGGCGCTGGCCCCGGCGCCCGTCTGGCTCTCGCTGGCCGGAGTCACGGTGGTGACCGGGGCGAGCGTCTGGAACATCGCAGCGGGCAGAGTGCCCATGGGTTGGGCCGGGAGGTAGGCTGTCGGGGAGAAGGCTCCAGCCGCCATGGCGGCCCATTGCTGCTGGGTTGCGGGGAAGATGTTGGCCTGGCCCCAGATCAGAGGCTGTCCGCCCGGTATCACCTGGGCCACGGGGCCCAGAGGGGACTGGACCCCGAAGGCTAGCGGCGTCTGGGCAGCAAACGCCTGCTGGGACCAGTGGCCAGGAGGTACTGCTCCCATCGTCATATAACCTGGAAGCACGCATCGGGCAACATTAGAAAGAGCCGCCGTTCCATTTTTCCTCGTTCTTTTCATAAAGGCTAAGAGATTAGAAAACCCACATTTGGTGCTTCTCCTCTGTGCACAAACCCACAAAGATAATAAGACATGCATCACCAGAGAGCGCTGCCCTACTTCTGCCTGCAGCTAACGCGGAGCCGCTTAATGGTCATGGTGAACTATGATAATTACCTCCAGAATGAGGCAGGATCATTATGGAAAGGCAGAGCACAACGCAGTCTCATTAAAATCACTCAAACTCATCAGCAAAAGGTACTTCTTATTACACAGTCACTAGTTCGCAGCTTCTGCTCTCTGGTAGTTAACTACAGCAGAGGAGGTTGACATTTACCCTCAGCCGCTCTGACACAGACACACAGAGCGACGACCAAAGGCAAGGAGGGGAGCAAATGAAGACATCCTGAAAAGGTAGGAAGTGAAACGGCTTGCAAAAGAATTTGTAACCCCTTTCACTTTTCCATTTCCTCACATAAAAAGTGTTTTATTTTGGTTATTTGTGCCTAATGGGCACAAATAACACAGAGTGGAGAGTAATTGTGAAGTGGAAGCAAAATTATGGATGGCTTTCATTTCTTTTTTTCTTTTTTTCTTCAGGGTTCCTGTTTCTGAAACTCAAATTTAAGGCTTATTAGGACATTATTAACACCTTAATGAATGAAATTTAAAACAAGAATGCAAAAAAGGAAAATGTTCACATTTTATATTGTGGAAGTAAAATTTTTTCACAGAATGCACATAATGTCATTTGGATCAGCAACAGAAGTCAGCCTGTCATCCAGCCAGATAGTGAAAGATTTACACTTACCCATGACTGATGCAAAAAAAGCTAGCTAGCAACTCTATTAGCAGCTGGTTAGCGGCAGCCTCAACCGCCTCAAGTCTGTGCGACTCAAACTGAAATGTCCCGCAAGAAAAATAAACTATATAGAATATTAAAGATTAAATAGTCCTGCACAGGACATTTAAGACATTTCAAGGCCTTAATGTTAGATAAACGATTCAAGACTTTTTAAGGATGTGCGGACACCCTGCTTTCACAAATCCAAACATAGCAGCGCATTTGTATTCAACCTCCACGAATCGAGTCTTTTTAGAAACGCCATTCGCTGCAGTTAAAGCTTTAACTCTCTACCAGGCTCGCACAACAACACACTGGCAGATTTCACCTTTTATTCTCCTCATTCTGCTCAATCAGAACGGATGGAGAGTATCTGTGTGCATGCGTTTTCAAGTCGCAGTTGGATTCAGGTCTGGACTTTGACTGGGCCATATTAACACAAAAAGTGACCCAGTCTCTCCTTCAGATTTATCTCGTGCTTAGTGTCCTCCCAGCATGATACTGTCACTACCCTGCTTCACAGTGAGGACGGCGTGTTAAAGACAGTGCTTCATAGCGTTGTGTGCAACATTGGCTCGTTTACTGACACAATTCTTACACGAATCACAATACGAGAAGCCGGAGCTCGTAGTTCCACAGTGACCGAAATGGACTTCAGTCTTCTCATCTTTTGCTTTTCCTTCGACTGCCACTGCCGCCTCAGCTTCAGGTAAGTCAGCAGTAAGCATCAAAGCTAATAAAGCGTTTCATATTCAGCACACAACCGACTCCACCTTTCCTCCAGTATCCAGTCATCTGCATTTCAATTCTGTTCCTTCTCTGTTTATTCCAGCAGAACCTCCCCTCCCTTCTCCCTCTCGTCCCTCCGTCCTCTGCATCCCAAGCCTCTGACTTCACAGCTTCTCCTTATCTCCCAACGCGTTTGTTTGCCCGGTGCTTATAGCGGCGGCGGCAGCGGCGACGACTGTGAATAAGCGAGGTCTCACCTGAGGGCACGGACGCAGGATTGAAGGGAGCGAACAGTTCCGTGGGCGGCTGCAGGCCCTGCGAGGGGTCGAGGGTGTTGGCGGGGGACGCCGGGGTCTGTGGGAATCGGATGTCAGGTGAGCAAGCAACAATGCAAAAAAAACAAACAAAAAAAATAATCATAAAAAATGCAGATTGATTAAAACACATTATGTCAGCATGGCTGCTACTCACGGACGGGGAGGTTATGTCAGGTGGCGTGGACATGTCTCCGAAAATCTCTAACTGGCTGATGTTCTGAGAAATAGAGAGGGGAGGGAAAAAGAAGAGAACAAACACAGTCGGTCAGGGAGCGATGGCTGCTACGCTCGTCTGGGAATCGAATTGTGAAGTGTTTAGCATTCTGGTGCAACATGCATCGCACGTCGCATGCAATGCGGGAGCAGCTACATGCGGCTAAAACACCACCTACCTGAACGCCGCTGCAGCAACACCGAGGAGGGGGGAACAAGAGAGGTGAGCAGAGATGGGAGAATGAGATGTAATGATCAGGATGACAATACCCACCATGACTTATTACACTTGTCATGTGCTTCTGATAGCAGCGCTCTCTGCTAGCTGAGGAACACACCGCCTCACATCTTTACTGTACGGGAGTCTTCTTCTGAGCCCGAGTCGTTATTGTTTTCCTCTCGCGGAGGATGATGTGTGTTGTGTCTCAGAGGGCATAACTACAGATCCTTTTGATCTGAACTTGTTCTGTATCATTTCCTTCCCATGGTTCTCTTTAATAACTCTCCTTTTTTTTTCTTTTTCTTTTTTTTTGTTGCGCATTACTAATATCTTTTGGCCAGTGGCAACCGTAGGAAACTATTTTTAGTCGATAAAAAGAATTTAAGCCTTGAATACATGGTCAGAGATTTGCATAAATCATGGATGCGGGTAATTTCTTGCAGAGATAATGAATGTTCTTAAAAAATCCCCCTTCCCCCCCCCCCCCCCATTCACTCATGGGTCATGCGGACCGGAAAGTTCTTTTGTGCATCTATCAGAAAATGGATCTGTGATCACGACGTTGAGTCATGAAGAGTTTACTTTCACAAAGCCTTGGGAGAAGATCTGAGGCTGTGGTATGTATATTTCATTGCAGCAGAAGCTGCTCTCGTACAGAGATTAAGTAGTCAAGATACAGATGCGACAAGAAGCAGTGACAAAGTTCCAATTGGATTAATTTTTACACTTAAGTGCGAAAATTAGCTGCTTTTGAGAAATGTTCGGGGGATGAAAAAACACATTTAACTCAGGGAGACATTTTTAAACTTCCTGTTCAGAGCTGCTTCAAGCTGTCTTGGAAATTTTGGAGTATGAAGAAATTCTTTATTTGCTTTTAAAAGAATTACAATTAGTGATGCACAGGAAAACACAGAGAGATTTTTAGCTCAAGTAAACTACATAGATGACAAGCCGGTAATAAATTCAAATAGCCAGTCTTTAGTGATCAGTGGATGCACCATCTGAAGCAATATAAAAATAACTCTCTTGAGTCTAGATGTTGTTACGGAGTGAATAAGGCTTAAAATGAGTCATTTTAACACTAGGGAGGACATTAATAGCTAAACAATCTGAATCTGCATCCTTAATTCAACCAAGGATCTGGCTGATGCAGACCCCACAAACATCAAGGACCAATAAAGCTTTTTACTACTGTTGTGAATATACAGTATTATTTGAAATACTGATGATGGACCACAAAGGGTTGTGCAGAAACTCAATCTGAAACCAATTTCAAAGTTCTCTTTTACCAAAACAGGCTTAACTAACTGTAAATGAGTTCTGGGAATAAGAGATTGAAGTTAATTAATTCATGATATCAATGCAAAAATGATTTAAAAGGCAGTCATATTTCTGATGGCATGCTGAGACATGTTTGCCATTCATTTAGGCAACAAAGCTTAGAGAGAGCAACACTTTAATTTAAAATGAAAGCTAAAAGTTGCTTCATTTTCTCCACTTGATTTTTTTTTTGACTGTATTGCCTTGAAGACTTTCCTTTGTCTACCTGTGTGTTTTACAACCTTCCCAATGTATTTGTTTTGGCTCCAGGTTGTTGAACCCGGCAGACAGGGAACAACCAGCGTCTTTTGTCACAACCCGTGTTGGTTTACCTTCTGGAAAGAGGCTTCGGATGCTTTTCATTGTTGGCGCTGGCAGCTGTCTTGTTGGGGCTGTGTAACCTGTCTGTCAGCAGCAACTGATTAAGACGTGCAAGTCTCTTAACTGGATGCTCATCTGCATGATTAGAGTTGTGAAAACATTTGTTTTAGATATGCAAATTAGATGGATGCCTGTGGGTTTTTTTTTTTAAACACTTAAAGATCTTGTGATTTATTTTTTGTGTTGTTGAAAGATTAGCAACCAGTTCTTAAAATGTCATCTGTTTTTAAAAAAAAAATTAAGGAAACTGAATCATAGAAAATAATTTCTTTGATTTAATTCTTTTCTCTGCAAACATTTCTTTTTAAATAGCTGACTGAATTCACTCCCAGAGAAGTGATCCCGTGTTTTGCTCGAGTTTGAACTTTATCTGCGAGATATTTTCTCTGCTGAAAGACCTCCCGGCGGAGCTAATGGACGGGGGCTTCGTCTCTGCTACATCTATTTTTGAGTTTTAGACAAAAACACACAGGTGTGAACGTGGGAGTGCAGCGGCGCAGCATCCTAATGTCCTCCTGGCCAAACTTGGCTGCTATAGCAACAGGAAAAGGTGCATGTTTTATTCAGTAATGACAGTGGTCTACAGTCGGGGTCACTTCAGACCAAAGGAGAACAAGAGGTGCAGAACCGATCAGGACGTGGCGACAAAAGCTCATCTGAGGAAGTGACTAGCGAAGCAGCTAATGAGGGCTGAGAGCTAACCTTTACGGCTCCCCGCAGGAAAACAGAGGAAGACGTCCTGGTGTGTACGTATAAGCTTACCTCAGTCACCAGGTCCAGGTTTAAGTCTATCAGATCTGCAACTTCCTGCTGCTTCGGCTGCTGTTGACGTTTGACAGCGTTCTGGCGCTTATGTTGCTGTTGGGATTTTTTTTTATGTCCGTTCTGTAATCCAAACCCCAGTGTTAGATGACAGGTGGAATGAAAATGATCTCACACACACAAACATGTTAGTTATTTTCAATTCACACACACACACACACACACACACACACACATACACACACACACACACACACACACACAAACACACACACACACACACACACACACACACACACACACACATAAACAGAAAGTAGTGATGTTTGATCTCTTGAATACACCGTGTTAGCTCGTCTGCTAACCATGACAAAAACACAGGGCTTTGCAAGAGCCTGGACTTGTCCATATTTTGGCACCTGAACATATTTTACCGGGACTTTTATGTGACGAAAACACAAAGTAGCTCACATTTATTCTGTGCAATGAAAAATGATACATGATTTCCCCAAACAAGGAGCAGAGATCTGTAGCTCAGGCGGGAGAATCTGTTGACAGGATGGCTAATAAGTGGAGCATTTCACAAATTTGGTGGGACAGTGGCGTCAGAAGATGTTCACTAAGAAGTCTTGTTTGACAGTTTGTCACATGGTAAGAAGAAAGTGGGACACAGTGCTCTCTTCAGGTTAAAAACTGAACTACCTGGTATTATTGATAATATTGATTTCTGAAAAATCATCATGCTGTGGGAATTCGCTTCCTCAGAGGGAAGCAGGTAAGACGGGAGGATGGAAAGGAAACTACAATGTCCTTAAAATATATGTAGAGCTACTAATGAATGGTTTAAATCAAAGCTTATTCAGGTGTTCAAGTTCAACGTTTAATTGTCATGTGCAGAGTACAAACACATTTCCTTATATAATAAAAAAACTTACTTCGCTGTCTGCAAGAACGCCACTTAAAAACAGGTTAGAAAAAGCACAAAATGTGAAATAACCTTATAAATATAGCAAAATATCACCTACAAGTACCAATGACAGGATAAAAGTAATCTCTATATAGATAAACTTCATACTATATGATTAAAATACAAGGAAATGTGAATATAGCATAGGACAAGATGATTGGTAGCTGTGCAAATGTCAATAGACTGGTCAGAGTCTAGATCTAAATGCAACTGAGAATCTGCACCAAAACTTGGAAAATTGATGCTGAAAATGTTCCATCTCTACATTCAGTGAACTGGTTTGGCACACCAGTTTGAGATTTTATTACTGAAATAATTTTGAAAACCACGTATCAACTCTTTCTACATTACAGCTTTTCACTGCTCTCTGTTGGTCCATCACGCGAAATCCCAATAAAGTACGATACAGTTTGTGTTTCACAAAAAATGTGAAAGGCCCAGAGTGTCGGAATGATTTCATGTCTATTGCGAAATCCCTCCACCAATACCACCCTCCTCTGTCTGCAGAGACAACGGTGTGACGAAGGCCTCCTCTGTTCCCGTTTCCGGCTCCGGCCCAGACACGATGCGCAGACTGGTCTGAGCCAAACCAGTGCCGTATTTGTTGCGTGACAATATTATTGAGTGTGCTGCTTTCATTGGATGAAAGCATGAGATATGGCCATCATTAGCTGATGCTGAAAAACAATAACACATTGCCCAGTCGTAATCAGGTCTAAAAGCACAGCTCATTTTTCTACTGAGCTTTTTTTTTTCCCTCAAAAAATCTGAACTCATAATCGCTCATTTCAATCTAGCTAATGAAACACATTTGTCTGAATTTTGTGGCGTGGGTGTGTGTTGGTGTGTGTGTTATCCATTGAATCGTATAGTATCTGCCATCTTTGCTGAAAGTTGCAGTCTGCTGCTGGCTTTCCCTCAGTTTGTCCTTCTGTCCTCGCTCTCGCGCTTCCCTTCCTGCCAATTATCCCTTTGTGCCCGTTAGACGCTCTCGCCATCCCTTCGCCCAGCCCGTATAGTCCTCATCATCGCAGCCGCAGACCTATCAATTAGCCGTCTCCGGGGAAACAGTAATTACCTGTGCACATGTGTTCTGCATACAATTAATGCATCCCCTTTAATTAACGCCACCTTGTTGATTCCCTGCCGAGTGACTGATTGCGCTGGCATGCGGCGCCAGCACCGCTGACCTTGTGCAAACAATGCACACAAGTCAGAAAAATTAAATCGTACATGCTACGACTGAATCTTCTCTCATTCACCATCTGAAACTGGGAGGATCTCCTAAACCTCGGAGGATCCATGAATAGTTACAGTGCCTTAAAAAAGCATCCATATCTCCTACAAATTGTTC